AGGAACTGGCGGCTGTGATTGCAGAGCCATTGGCCATTATCTTTGAAAACTCGTGGCGAACGGGGGAAGTCCCGGATGACTGGAAAAAGGCTAATGTAGTGCCAATCTTTAAAAAAGGGAAGGAGGAGGATCCTGGGAACTACAGGCCAGTCAGCCTCACTTCAGTCCCTGGAAAAATCATGGAGCAGGTCCTCAAAGAATCAATCCTGATGCACTTGCATGAGAGGAAAGTGATCAGGAACAGCCAGCATGGATTCACCAAGGGAAGGTCATGCCTGACTAATCTAATCGCCTTCTATGATGAGATTACTGGTTCTGTGGATGAAGGGAAAGCAGTGGATGTATTGTTTCTTGACTTTAGCAAAGCTTTTGACACGGTCTCCCACAGTATTCTTGTCAGCAAGTTAAAGAAGTATGGGCTGGATGAATGCACTATAAGGTGGGAAGAAAGTTGGCTAGATTGTCGGGCTCAACGGGTTGTGATCAATGGCTCCATGTCTAGTTGGCAGCCGGTGTCAAGTGGAGTGCCCCAGGGGTCGGTCCTCAGGCTGGTTTTGTTCAATATCTTCATAAATGATCTGGAGGATGGTGTGGATTGCACTCTCAGCAAATTTGCGGACGATACTAAACTGGGAGGAGTGGTAGATACGCTGGAGGGCAGGGGTAGGATACAGAGGGCCCTAGACAAATTGGAGGATTGGGCCAAAAGAAATCGGATAAGGTTCAATAAGGATAAGTGCAGGGTCCTGCACTTAGGACGGAAGAACCCAATGCACAGCTACAGACTAGGGACCGAATGGCTCGGCAGCAGTTCTGCGGAAAAGGACCTAGGGGTGACAGTGGACGAGAAGCTGGATATGAGTCAGCAGTGTGCCCTTGTTGCCAAGAAGGCCAATGGCATTTTGGGATGTATAAGTAGGGGCATAGCGAGCAGATTGAGGGACGTGATCGTCCCCCTCTATTCGACATTGGTGAGCCCCTGGAGTACTTGTCCAGTTTTGGCCCACCTAAAGAAGGATGTGGATGAATTGGAAAGGGCGAAGGGCAAAAAAATGATTAGGGGTCGGAACACATGACTATGAGGAGAGGCTGAGGGAACTGGGATTGTTTAGTCTGCAGAGGAGAAGAATGAGGGGGGATTTGATAGCTGCTTTCAACTACCTGAGAGGTGGTTCCAGAGAGGATGGTTCTAGACTATTCTCAGTGGTGGAAGAGGACAGGACAAGGAGTAATGGTCTCAAGTTGCAGTGGGGGAGGTTTAGGTTGGATATTAGGAAAAACTTTTTCACTAAGAGGGTGGTGAAACACTGGAATGCGTTACCTAGGAGGTGGTAGAATCTCCTTCCTTAGAGGTTTTTAAGGTCAGGCTTGACAAAGCCCTGGTGGGATGATTTAACTGGGAATTGGTCCTGCTTCGAGCAGGGGTTGGACTAGATGACCTTCTGGGGTCCCTTCCAACCCTTATATTCTATGATTCTATGGAATGCGTTGCCTAGGGAGGTGGTGGAATCTCCTTCCTTAGAAGTTTTTAAGGTCAGGCTTGACAAAGCCCTGGCTGGGATGATTTAATTGGGGATTGGTCCTGCTTTTGAGCAGGGGGTTGGACTAGATGACCTCCTGAGGTCCCTTCCAACCCTGATATTCTATGATTCTAAGAGGAGACCTACACAAGCGCTTTGTCTCCAGTTTGAATGCTGGGGGGAAAGAATACAAATCCCTGTTAATAAGAAATTGTATTCCTAAGCTGCTTGAACTCTGAGCCTAAGATTTCTAAACATAAGCAAGGGGTCCCCAGCTGTTTATCTTGGTTTAGCCTTAAAGGACATATAAAACTTGCATATTACAGCAGCTACTATCATCTTTTGAAACCTAAGACTATACTCATTTGTGTGTGCGTGTATGTTTACCTGTTTTAACCTTGTATATGACTCTCATTTCTCTTTCCTAGTTAATAAGCCTTTAGTGAGTTTACTATAGGATTGTCTACAAGCATTGTCTTCAGTGCAAGACCTAGGATGCACTTGACCTGAGATAAGTAACTGGTCCTTTGGGACTGGGAGTAACCTGAATATTGATATGATTTTTGGTGCAAGGGACCATCTATCACAAAGGCAGGCAAACTTTTGTTTTATTTCTTTAAAGGGAGTGAGGTTGTGCTTTTTTTTGCTTTCTAATGTGGAAAAAAAGCCTGAGGCATTTTTATGGGTTCTTTTATTGCCTTTTAGTAAATCTTGGAAATACAAGACATGTCAAATCTGGCCTTCCTGCTTTTGGCGGAGATCTTCTGGGGAGGGGGTCTCCAAGCAGGGTGTATTGTGAGCTTGTACCTTTGCTGGAGGAGTGGAAGCGTGGAATCTTTCCTCAACACATTTATTAGTCATTGGAGTTGAAAAAAAAACCTTCTAAACACTATGGATAAAAATCTGTTCCCCTTTCAATGCTCCATAAAGATTCAAAAGGGGCACAAATGCATTTTCCCTTTTTACAGGTCACCTTTAAACTAATTACCTGAATTAAGTAGTTCTTTTTAGTGGTTGCAGCTATTGAAACACATGAAGAGGTGAGGGGCACTGTAACTTGTTACATGCATAATATAGGAATTTTGTGTAATACATAGCTGAGAAAAACAACAATCAGTATCAATAAAGTTATTTGTTAAACACTGACAGTACTTCAGTGATGTGCATTATCAACATCACAGCAATCAAACACACTGCAACAATCCTGTATGATAAGTAGACAGCATCAATATTTTTAGGGGCTGAGTTTTCATACACTGTAGGGCCAGAAGGGAATATTATGATCTTCTAGTCTGAACTCCTGCAAAACACAGGCCAGAATTTCATCCACTAACTCCTGCAACTGGAGGAAACTATTCTTTCTACAGTAGAGGGACATGTTTTCACTTAAATCTTGTCTGTCTAAAGTTACGTACCTAAATCTGTACTTTGGCACTTAAATAACCATCTTAAACAACTACCTGTTAATTCAGACATCAAAGTACGGATTCAGATGCTTAATTTCAAACATTCATATCTGAAAATTGGGCCTAGATAACACTGAGACAGACAACAGCCCAAATCTGACAATGAACTTGAGCCCTTAAGGACTGTTGTGAGGCTTAGTCTTTCAGTGCACATTTTTGTGATCACTGGTGGAGAGTCTAGCTGCAGAATGCTTGAAAATCCAGAAAATACCATTTTGTATTTAGGTTGAGCAATTAATACATGTTCATGAACACATTAATATACATAAAACAGGTCATTTAATTATACTTTCAAATATAATGGAAACAAATAATTTAATAAAATGAGAAACATGAATAACAAACAGCCAAGTGAATTGTAAATTGCATCCAAGTTGTGAAAACATCTGCCAAAACCCCGCCCCGGAGAAGGTATTTCTCATCACTTCCCAGTGAGAAAGAAGCGACTGTCTCTTCCATATCTGTTTTATAAATAATATGATTTTTGTAATTTTCTGTTCCTGCAGCAACTTGTTCCTGTATAAACTTGTTCCGGATGACTGGAAAAAGGCTAATGTAGTGCCAATCTTTAAAAAAGGGAAGAAGGAGGATCCTGGGAACTACAAGTACCTCATTAGTCCCTGGAAAAATCATGGAGCAGGTCCTCAAAGAATCAATCCTGAAGCACTTGCATGAGAGGAAAGTGATCAGGAACAGAGCATGGATTCACCAAGGGAAGGTCATGCCTGACTAATCTAATCGCCTTCTATGATGAGATTACTGGTTCTGTGGATGAAGGGAAAGCAGTGGATGTATTGTTTCTTGACTTTAGCAAAGCTTTGACACGTCTCCCACAGTATTCTTGTCAGCAAGTTAAGGAAGTATGGGCTGGATGAATGCACTACAAGGTGGGTAGAAAGCTGGCTAGATTGTCAGGCTCAACGGGTAGTTATCAATGGCTCCATGTCTAGTTCACAGCCGGTATCAAGTGGAGTGCCCCAAGGGTCGGTCTGGGGGGTTTGTTCAATATCTTCATAAATGATCTGGAGGATGGTGTGGATTGCACTCTCAGCAAATTTGCGGATGATACTAAACTGGGAGGAGTGGTAGATACGCTGGAGGGGAGGGATAGGATACAGAAGGACCTAGACAAATTGGAGGATTGGGCCAAAAGAAATCGGATGAGGTTCAATAAGGATAAGTGCAGGGTCCTGCACTTAGGACGGAAGAACCCAATGCACAGCTACAGACTAGGGACCGAATGGCTAGGCAGCAGTTCTGCGGAAAAGGACCTAGGGGTGACAGTGGACGAGAAGCTGGATATGAGTCAGCAGTGTGCCCTTGTTGCCAAGAAGGCCAATGGCATTTTGGGATGTATAAGTAGGGGCATAGCGAGCAGATCGAGGGACGTGATCGTTCCCCTCTATTCGACATTGGTGAGGCCTCATCTGGAGTACTGTGTCCAGTTTTGGGCCCCACACTTCAAGAAGGATGTGGATAAATTGGAGAGAGTCCAGCGAAGGGCAACAAAAATGATTAGGGGTCTGGAACACATGAGTTATGAGGAGAGGCTGAGGGAGCTGGGATTGTTTAGCCTGCAGAAGAGAAGAATGAGGGGGGATTTGATAGCTGCTTTCACCTACCTGAAAGGGGGTTCCAAAGAGGATGGCTCTAGACTGTTCTCAATGGTATCAGATGACAGAACGAGGAGTAATGGTCTCAAGCTGCAGTGGGGGAGGTTTAGATTGGATATTAGGAAAAACTTTTTCACTAAGAGGATGGTGAAACACTGGAATGCGTTACCTAGGGAGGTGGTAGAATCTCCTTCCTTAGAGGTTTTTAAGGTCAGGCTTGACAAAGCCCTGGCTGGGATGATTTAACTGGGAATTGGTCCTGCTTCGAGCAGGGGGTTGGACTAGATGACCTTCTGGGGTCCCTTCCAACCCTTATATTCTATGATTCTATGATTCTATGAAGCAAAACAAACTGTCAGGATTGCAGATGAGAAAATAAACAATAGTCAAAATAAATTTACCTGCTGATAGAAAAAATTTAGTGTTGGCTTGTCCTCAGTAAACTGATTCAGAAATCCTTTTGGTAAATATCGGATTCGCAGTTCATATCTAAAAAGAAGGAAAACAGGATTACATCCATAATGCAAGGAGAATAAATCTTCATCACTGTAGCTTTTAAAGAACAGGTTCGACAAGGACCTGTCCTGGATGGTCTACGTATACTTGGTCCTGGCTCAGTACAGGCGTCTGGACTTGATGACCTCTCAAGGGCCCTTCCAGCCCTACATATGATTCTATGATTAGGATGTTTAAAAAAAAACAAAAACAAAAAACAAAAAAACCCCACACACCCCAAACCTCTGTATAATTTGCAAGTGCTTTTAAAATTTCATTAAAAAGCAATTTCAGTTTAAATTTAATTAATTAAATGGGAAACCATTTTGACAGCCCAGTTATACTGAAGTTCAGAGGAAAAAGTATACCTGGTTCCCTTTGTTTACTGGGAACCCTCATCTCATCGGGGTGATTTCGAAGGACTGAGCTTTGGCAGGTCTTATGGGTAGGAAGCATGGGGAGGTGCGTAGTAGGTTTGAACCTGTTGCTGGAACAGATGATTTTGTTTTCCTGATGGGCTTGCAGGTCTATACTAGTTCAAAGAGGCTGTTATAAGGACTGAGGCATTGACTTCACAGTACCTGGATGGGCTGCCAGGCCCCGCTATAGGTGGTGGTAGCAGCTGAAGCTAAGATGATGGACTACTGGTCTGAGCAAGTAACAATTACTAGGTTTCTTGGTTAGCACAAGCATGAATGTTTAATGCACAGCTGGCAAAAGTGAGTACACAGGTGCTATTCCAAGTGAAAATGGCAACTGATATAGCCCATCAGGGAGCCACAACCTGTGCATTAGCCAAAGGCTCATTTTCAGCTGGAAAAGGCTCAGTCTCTTATCAAATAAAGGTGCTGCAACATCTAATTCCTGGGACTACCTCAATGGAATTGTTGGGATTTACCTATAGGAGGATTTCATAACAGATAGGCGTATCCCATATTAGGGTACTGAGGTGCATTTAGTAACTCAAAAATCTAAATCCCACCATGACATTGCCACACTATTCAATTACAGCAGGAGGTCCAGAGAGGCAGGACTATGGGTCACTTTGATTTACTGGCTATGCCAGAGTTTTAGATCTCCCTAAAGTTTTTGTTTATAAATAGTAAAACTGTTTGGAAACTGATTGGATATTAAATTATTGGTACTGCCGTGGCACCTAAAGACTCCTATCAGGTGGTTCCTACCCTGAAGATCTTAGAATCTAAGTAATAGTCTCATTCAGTGTAAAACTAGCATTATCACAAACACAATAGCATTTTAGCAAGATGGCCAGCTACATAATCTTTATTGTAATTAGAAACATTTTGAAACCATATATTTAATGGTTTTTGCACAGTGACAAGCTTTTGTTGTGAAATTTCATATTGCTGGTTTCAGCAGGATAGGAAAGGCTGCTTAGCAATTTATAGAAAATAATGTTAAGGATTGCAAGTTAAGGCACACATACCTGACAAGACAAAATTATTGATTAAAATCACATTAACTTGTTTGAACATGTAATGAATCCGAGCCCCACAAAAATGACGAACAGATACAGAATTTTGATTTGCTGTGTTGCCTATTTCTAGTGTTGAATACTCAATCTATGGTGAATAATATATATAAACATATTATATATATAAAACTTCGGATTTACAATATTCAGTTAATTTTTCTTGATATTTTGAGGTTCTCTTCAAAAACACAAAGTGCATGCTCAGTCTTTTGCTAAAATGAAACAAACATTTAAAAAAAAAACCAATGAATCTTCAGACTCAGAGATATAAAAAGACAGCTGCATGATGTACAGCAAAATATAAACAAAAATAGTCCTTTTTTTTCCCCCAACCAAAAACTTAGGCCACCCTGTAGCATGTGTGGGCTCATGTCTGGAGAGGCAAGGTAGTGTCATCCATACCTTGTCCAAAACCAGAAAAACTGAAGGAAGTTTATTTCTCCATTGGAAAAAGCCAAATCACCACTACACTACACTGTGGAGTCAAATGTAGAACAAAGCAAATTTCCTGTTCAAAAAGCAACTATTTTCCCCCTTTTCTCTCTCCTTGTCTTATTTTTCCCTTCTATTGCTTGATGGATCTTCAGTCTTCATCCACATACTAGCTTTCTAGATTTTAAATTTTTTAGAAGTTTTTGTATCTCTAAAAACTGCTTTTTACGCAATCTTTTATTACCCCCTCTTTTGTACAAGAAGGGAATTGTTATCCATCTCATGTGATTTCAGCATCCTAGTGATTAAATACAACCTTAAGGAGGAGGTTGAGGTTAAATCGAACTATAAAATATACCAAGAAGCATAATATAAAGGCAAAGGAGCACCTACTATAGTTTTTCATCATGTATGTCACCAACTGCATCAGAGAAAATTGAAACACTCATTATTTAACATACAATTTAATTTTAAAAGTAACTCTAATGAAAAGCCTAAAAGCTTCAGGTAGACTAGTACGATATTTAGTTTCCATTTTACTTTGCCTTTTATTACAACATGTAATATACTGTGGCTAAAACAGAATTAGAAGGACAGATTTAAAAAAAAATAATAAAACAAGATAACTTGAGCTACTGAACTCTGCATATATCTGTATCTTGATATAGACTTAAGAAACCCATCTCTATCATACAACAGAAGATTAATTAGCCAAGACAGGACTGAATTACAGAAGCATAAGGTACAAACAGGAGATGAGACAGTCCTGTTGGGTGACAGTCTCTGTCCCTTTCAATGAGAACTGTTCCCTAACCATGCCCAACATACTAGTGTCAATGGCACTTCCACCATTTCCCATGGTAGACTATTCTGCAGTATAATAATTACTCATGGTCCAGAAGTCTGTGGTGATCTACATTTTACATGTTCTTTCTCTTAACTTCATACATGTCTGAACTATCGTACATAACACCTCTCCTTCCCTGACGCTACTACCCTTCACATGTTTGTAAACTGCTATATCACCCCATGAGCATGTACTAAGCAAGATACAGATATTTAGTTCTTTTAATCTTTCCTAATAAATCATTCTCTACAACCCCATAATAATTTTTATTGCTGTTCTCTCAACTCCCTTCAAGTATCTTTCTGCTAATGAGATGCTCAGAACTTCTTTAGAAATTCTCATCATTAATCTTGGGATGTCAGTTATAATGGGATTAATGGCTGCCTTTTTGCCTGGTTGAGTAATCCCACACATTGAGGAAAAAAACAGAACAGATTATTTCTTTTCCTTCGGACAAAGAAAGTTTTTCAATTTTAATCCCCATTTAACTCAAAACCCCACTGTGGTAGCACAGAAACCCCACCTATTTACAACCAAAGCCGGTTTCTTCTTCCCTTGTTTGAATGGGAACTGAAAATTCAAGTGGGTTACACACTTCATATCTCTCTGTAAATCATACAATTTAATCTATTCTTTATTGTACTTTTGTAACCTTAGGAAACCATCACATATCTTCTTTAATGCCATCAATTTAATGTGAATAGTCCTGTAATAAAAAAAAATACCTCTTCTTCTTTCCACATCTCAACATAAAAGTAAACATTTACTGAATACTGTGAGATTCATTCTAAACCACCTCTAAGAATAAAATATGGTAGAGTCACTCACAAGACAATTAACTTAAAATATATTGGCTGGTTGACCATTCATCTTACATTTATACAGATTCTGTCATTCCAAAGTGTTTGACGTTTTAAGACACATGGCTGGCGAGACGAAGGCAGATGGGAGGCTAAGGGAGTCAGCGAGCTGAGCTTGCCAGCAAAGGAAAACAGGGAAGCATGGTTGTGTGTTCCCCACTCCCCTTCCTTAATTTGCAAGAATTCTACAAGGAAGAACCGTCAATGGAGGAAAACGGCATGTTGCCAACATCACTGATAGCTCTTCCTCTGCTTGCACCTGTGCCCCCACACTGCCAGCCAGCCATCCTGACCCTGGAGACTTCCACCCAGGCCCTGGTCTTGACTTGCTGGGAATGCAGCTTGTATGTTCCCGCTGATGAAAGCCAGGCAGGGGGAATAACCTGGGTGTAAGAGCTGTTGGTTGGTGGAGTCCCACAGGAAACAGGCTAGAAAGCTGCAGGAGGAGGTGGCTCAACTGTGTAGCATCCAGGAGTGTGAGGGACTTCATTGACAGGACACACCTGGAAACATCTGGCAAGGAGGATATTAGGCGACCACAGAAGCACCAGAGGAGGAAAGCAAACCAGCTGCTCCATGGGGAGGACACTGGCTGCTGGCCATCTTGCGCAGTAGACAGTGTTCCACCCCCTACCCAGGTCCCCCAAACATCCATGTGAAGAACTGGTATGCTATACCAGCAACAGGAGGTGACAGACAGATCCCAGCGGCTGAGGAGGAGCCCCTTGCCCCAAAAGCTGGGAAGCTCATGGCCATCTCACACAAGGGGGAACATAAGGTGCTAGTGTTTTAGTACTCCCCCCAGGTGGGTGGAGGCAACCATCTCCTGACCTGACATGATGTCCCAGGGACGTGTGCTTCCTGCCTGGAGATGTTGCACATCGGAGAAGTTACAGAAAGGCTGCTGAGGCTCATCCATCCCTCTGACCACTACCCCAGAATGTTCATGCATGTGGGCACTAATGGTATTATCAGATATGACCCTGAGCAGATCAGCAGTGACTACAGGGCTCTGGGAGTGAGGTCAAGAAATCAGGGGCATAGTTTGTATTCTTGTTCATCATCCCAGTTGAGGGTAAGGGCCCAGGTAGGGACATGTGCATCTTGAAGATGAATGTATGTCTGCAAAGATATGCCAAAGGGAGGGCTTCAGCTTCCTCAACCACAGGATGCTGTTCTGAGAAGAAGGCCTGCTGGGAAGACATGGGGGTCCACCTGACTAAGAAGGGGAAGAGCATCTTTGTGCCCTAACATGGCAACCTAGTGAGGAGGACTTAAACTAGATTTAAAGGTGGTAGGTGACAAAAGCCCACAAATAATCTTAAAAAAGGCAACTTTAACACAGGGCTAGATGTTAGGG